AAAAAAAAAAAAACAACCATACTTCGAAACTTGAATATTATGAAGTTAGAAACAAGCAACTTTATGGGCACATCAGCTCCTAGTGTCATAAAACAATCAATTGAGGAGCACGGAAATGACGTTATATTTCAGATATACTCACGCAATTGGAACTTTTATGTTGATAAAAGCATACGGGAAACGGTTTCATGATCTGAGTTACATGATGATTACAGAAACAGGGATTGAAGCTTGACATAGAAAGAAATGCAAAGATTAGCCACACCTTTTCCAAAGAGAACCTTTTTGCTCTTCTTTCTCTGGCTCTGCATGGGCGATTTCGAGATGTTGGTGTTGTTGGCCTCTAAATCAAACTTGCCTCTGATTAACCCTGACTTTTGATCTTCCTCTGTTCCACTACACTCTTCCTTGGTGTCATCCAGGTGACGATCGTCGTTATTTTCGATTTCAAATTTCTTCCCTTTAAGTTTTCTCCCTTCTGTCTTGTTGTACCAGCGCTTACAGATTCCACCGCATTGGACTTATACTTGAACAGCTCGCCCGTGTCAGCTTCTGTGCTCCATTCTAAATCCTCTTCATCCATGTCGGCAGACAAGAGTTTCCTGTTGGCCATTTCAGCTAAAAATAGTTCTGTAACCAAAAGCAGTTTCATAAGTTGAGTAAAAGAATATAATGTTCAGTAAATAAGGTTCAATGATAACCTTTCTTTGACTATGCCTAATTGGCGATGACATGACACTCTTAGCTCTTTTATTTGGGGTTCCAGAAACCTGGGGAGAGCCACCTCTTTGTGAAGCCTCTGCCAAAGCTATGGCAATTTCGTGAGCTACTTCATCATCATCAGCATTAGCATTCAGTTGCAACCCTTTACTGGTTGGAGAAAAATATTTATCATCGCGCATAGTGTCATATGGCAAGGAAATGGGGAACCTTGGCGTCCTTTTTCCAACAGGAGGAGGTCTGCTCCCTGTATGATCAGAAATTCAGAACAATATTTTGTTGTTAAAATCACTAAAAAGAAAACTGTCCACAAACTCTAATCTATTCTATAAGAACAAAACTGCAGATATGGTGATGAAAACCAGAGAAAGAATATGCACCATAGATAAATTATACGAGAAACAATACACGCTACATCATGAGCAGATCAGGATCAGAAAAGAAAGCAGATTTTTTAAAAAAAAAAAAAATTTCAGGAAATTCAAGAAATTCTTAAGATATTTAACAAAAGTCAATAAATCCAGAACTAACATGCAAATCATGAACTACAAACCTATATTAATGTTTTATTTCCCTTCTCACATATCTAAGTGGGCTAACTGCAAGTTATTCATAAACTTCCAGCAGAAGTACAAGGATCCAAGTTCAGTCTATAAAAACAAGGTTTTAGCATTCTAGAATGAATACCATAGAAGATCGATTTATCTGTGTTTTTAACATACCTCCAGAGCGTTTCTTCTTTAACAATGACAGGCAACCATAACTCAAACCTAGGGTTGGGGAAAGGAATTGACTGTCTGACGCTTTTGAGGTAGGAGGTTCTACTTTGCAACGAGCACGTTTCTGATGCTTTCGTGATGATCTCACTTCATCATTGCTTTCTTGATCACTGTCGCTCCCTGCCTGTCAATTGTGAAAACAATAATACATGACATTCTACAAAGCGCATCAAAAGAAGTGTGCACTGGTATGCAGTGATCCCAGAGAAAAGTATCACAAGGTAATGTAGATAGTGGTTTTCAGACCCAATAAGTGTCAACTGATAGGAGAGAAGGTTAATTATAGCTATATCAAAGAATATGAAACACCCCAATCATTTTTGGTAGTTTGTCTATCCACTTTATTTCATAGAAGTAATAGAACGACATAAACAACGTGCTGGAGGGCATACTTGCACAACAACGCCTAACTGCTTTTCCTTCATTTTCATTGATATCATAAATTTATGATTAGCTCATAGCTTATAAGCTTATTTTATTCAAATAAGTCTGGTTTGGTGGAATGAACTTTTTAACAAACATTTTTTTATTTTAATAATATATATAATCTAGGTTTTAAGTCAGTAATATCAGCTAGCCAAATCTACCAAATATAAGAGTGCATGTAAACTACACAGCCCAACTGGTAATAACTCTTGAAAGAATAATGTTTCCCCTGTCAAACCCAAATGACATTATGCGACCACTACAATCTTCCGAGCCTGACTTAATAGAAATCTCGTAGTGCAGCACTTCCCCATAATTGGAATCAGACAGCACAATCCCCATGGGCCCCTTTAAACAAAACTAATCCGAACGAATCACATTGATACTTGTGGTCTCAGTTGCAGAAATTAGACTTCCATAGTAACATACTAAGGAGCATAATGTAACACTACCATAAGGAATTCAGGCAAATGACCTGAATCCTGGTACTCCCTAGAAAGAAGGGGGAAAACAAAGAAAAAAGATATATGGGGGATAGACAAATCATACCTCAACCTCGCAACCATTACACTTGGTCATATTCCAGCTGGAGCAGACAGGCACGCTTGGATTGGCTGCCTACTCTCGACATAAGGAAAAAGGGAAGCTCTCCATGTATCAACACACAGACCAAGGAACTTGAGCTCCCCTGTTGCACAATCCACACACACCACTTCACCATCCCAGGATTGAACATATAGTTCAACATTGTTGAAGAAGCCCAACAGTTTACGATATGCAACGCCACTGACAATACCGACATTGGACAGCACTCTAGACCATGATTCATGATTCCATACCCAAATTTGAATATGGAAAGAATTAAGACTTAATGATTCCAAATCACTGTGGACAATAGTGGCGAGCTGTCCATTAAACTCAGCAAGAATAAGGTTAATACTGAAGTAATTAAGAAGATCAGTTTGGGGCAGGGGAATAAGAGGTGTGGAAATGGAAGGGAACTTCTCAGTAGTCATGTCAAAGGAGAGGATAACACCATCACCGGCCATCCAATAATAGATGCCATTTATGTGAACCCTTTGAATCCCCGGAGGCATAGAGATATGGAGTAACGCGACTTCCTTCCAGGAATCACTTTTAAGTGAGACAGCTCAACTAGAGTATTTTCAGTAGCATCGTCAAGACACATATAGTCTATATGTGTCTTGACGATGGTACTGAAATACTCTAGTTGAGCTGTGCGTTACCCCATATCTCTACGCCTCCGGGGATTCAAGGGGTTCACATAAATGGCATCTATTATTGGATGGCCGGTGATGGTGTTATCCTCTCCTTTGACATGACTATTGAGGAGTTCCCTTCCATTTCCACACCTCTTATTCCCTTGCCCCAAACTCTTCTTATTTACTTCAATAATAACCTTATTCTTGCTGAGTTTAATGGGCATCTCGCCACCATTGTCCACAGTGATTTGGAATCATTAAGTCTTAGTGACGATCGACCCCAAAACCATAACAAAAGTAAGTGTTTCTTCTCCGAGGGCGCGGCACTGAGGATTCAGGAAGATACTTGAGCTCGTCTGTTGTTGGATTCCACAGAGCAGCTTCTTCAAATAAATGCCCCAAGAAAAAGGCGTTGCAGCTAAAACTAGGGAAAAATTGGCGAGAGCGCAGAGTATTGGGAAAGTGGAGTTCCTTGGGTTTTTTTTTTTGTTTGAAAGTTTATGGTAACGAACGGATAACTTCTCATCACTCGAGGCAAGAAGAAGTAGATTCTTGACTTGTTCACTTTTCCGCCGTATTTTTCCGGCGGCGGTGCTGCTGGTGACAAGAGATGATGTATGCGAGGAGAACGTCGATTTGGATGTTAATTTGGCGAGGGTAACGAATTTGGCCAAGAGTCTATTCATCATGTCACTAGTATTGTGTCTGCGCAAGATCAGCCACTATGAAACCCTAAACTCCCTTCAAATAATAGAACGCGATGCAGAGGGGGTGATGGAATATCT